CCAGGGACTGGGATCCACTGGGAAGAGGGATACTGGTGTCTGGGATCCCCTGGGATGGGGGCAGGATGCCAGGGACTGGGATCCACTGGAAGAGGGATACTGGGGTCTGGGATCCATGGGGACGGGGGCAGGATGCCAGGGACTGGGATCCACTGGGATGGGGGCAGGATGCCAGGGACTGGATCCACTGTAAGAGGGATACTGGGGTCTGGGATCCATGGGGACGGGGGGAGGATGCCGCGTGCTTGCCCCCTGCATCCCTGGGATGACCACCGGTGCCCGGCCTTCATTAGAGAGCCTAACGAAGGGATGCTCATTATGGGGTGGGGGGGCTGGATCCGTTCCCTCCGCCAGCAGAGCCCCCGGCTCCCAACAGCAGCGCGGAGGAGGACGGGATCAACCTGGAGGAGATCCGGGAATTCGCCAAGAACTTCAAGATCCGGCGCCTGTCCCTGGGCCTGACGCAGACGCAGGTGGGACAGGCGCTGACGGACACCGAGGGCCACGCCTACAGCCAGGCGGCACCGAGGGCCCAGCCTACAGCCAGTCGGCCATCTGCCGGTACGGGGGAAACAGGGGAGATGGGGGAAATGTGGGAAATGGGGGAAAATTGGGGAAAGGAGGAAAATTGGGGGAAAGGAAGGAAGTCAGAGAGATGGAAGAAAATTGGAGAAAAGATGGAAAATTAGAGAATAGGAGGAAAGTTGGAGAAAGGGAGGAAAAGGGGAGAAGAAGAGGAAAATAGGGTGAAAGGAGGAAAAGTGGAAAAAAAAGGAAAATTATGGAAAAGGAAAAATGGAGAAAAGGAGGAAATTGGGAGAAAAGGAGGAAATTGGGAGAAAAGGAGGAAATTTGGAGGAAAGGAAGAAAATGGGAGAAAAGGAGGAAAATGGGAGTAAAGGAGGAAAATAGGAGTAAAGGAGGAAATTTGGAGAAAAGGAGGAAAAGGGGAGAAGAGGAAAATTAGAGAAAGGGAGGAAAATAGGGTGAAAGGAGGAAAAGTGGAAAAAAAGGAAAATTATGGAAAAGGAGGAAGGGCAAGTTGGAGAAAAGGAAAAATGGACAACAGGGGGAAATTGTGAGAAAAGGAGGAAAATGGGAGTAAAGGAGGAAAATGGGAGAAAAGAAGGAAAATGGGAGAAAAGGAGGGTGGGTGCCCATGAAACCCCCCGCCGCGGTGTCACTCCCCGCCGTGGTGCCCAAGACCCCGTCCCGGTGTCCCCTGCGTCCTCACCCCGTCCCTGGGGGCTCTGGGTGCCCGCCGCAGGTTCGAGAAGCTGGACATCACCCCCAAGAGCGCCCAGAAGCTGAAGCCGGTGCTGGAGAAGTGGTTGAGCGAAGCCGAGCTCCGGAACCAAGAAGGGCAACAAAACCTGATGGAATTCGTCGGGGGGGAACCCTCCAAGAAACGGAAGCGCCGCACATCCTTCACCCCCCAGGCCATCGAGGCGCTCAACGCCTACTTCGAGAAGAACGCGCTCCCCACCGGCCAGGAGATTACCGAGATCGCCAAGGAGCTCAACCCGTGACGTCCGCCGCTTCTGGTTCTGCACCCGCCGGCAGACCCTCAAGAACACCAGTAAACTCAACGTCTTCCAGATCCCCTAAAGGGGGACGGGGACGTGTCCCCCCCCCTGCCC